ATCCGATCAAAAATAATAAATCGATTCCGAATGACCTCAGTTGCCAAAGAAACATATGTTGCAGTCAGTTACCTTGATTAGCATTTTATTTTTCATAAATTTGTTAACAGAAACATATGTTATGTGGCAATCTTTCGTTATTTTAGGCATGCTTGTGGATGCAGGTTTGTCGATAGACGAATAGAGCCAACAGGCTTGCCATGTGTAATCCTGAGGGGCAGCATTTTTGCCGTGAATTATTGATGTCAACGTAATGGATCTCAAGGGTGCAGATATATACGCCGCTTCATCTTATATGCACGCGTCCGGAAACTACGCCTCTTCTCTTTTTCTGCACACATACAGATCATCTTTAGAGCGTACACAGGGTACACGGGGCAGAATTAATTCAACTTCGTCCCTAGATGTCTGGGATCTCTATCTGAAAGTTGCTAGGCTGAGTTAGATCCGAGGAAGCTTCGATAAAAGATAATGGAGAAGTGTGGAAAGTATTGAATATACTTTAAAATAAATATGCAACAACCATGGCGGAGCAATTGAGTCGTCAGTTAATGTTAGCTTCCACGTATTAAAGTTTTTCGAATTTTAAAACTAAAAACTGTGATTGCAGATATATGTAAGGTTAAATTATTAGAATACACACCTAAGAATATTAGAAATTAAACAATTGAGCTATAAGTCGACTTCATAATTATTTATTAGTTATTATTTCTGTATAAAAGTCGCCTATGAATTTTTCAAAAATCGATGAAGAAATTCACAAATTTTACTAATTTTATTTTACACTTTATGAAATGCGACAATTTAAGGCATATCGAGTTTTATAAATATTATCTGGTAAATGTTTACGTCGATCTCAATTGAAGCAATTACATGAGTATGTGTTTTAATTATCTATCTTCAAATCTCCAATTTCCTAGATCTACATGAACGAAGCCTAAAGTTAAGAATATAAGCCTAGTGTTAAGAATACCATCACGTACGTATTTAATACAAATATTTTCTCATTGATACACTGCATATATTAGAAAAACTTAACAATACCTTAATTTATTTCTAGTAGTCTTTAAACAGTTGTTACGCTATAAACGATAACAATAGAATGTGATGACGTGAACGTTAGCGCAAACAGTAAACCTTTATTGTAATTTTAGTTCTTTTTACGATATTCCCGATGTCTTCTTAAAAAGTAAATGAAACAGGTGAGCGTTATCCGCGTCGCGTGCTGCGCACTTCATTTTTAAAATTCAATGCGTCCAATGTTGAACGAACTACAGGAGCGATTTGCAGGGTGCATACCATCTGCGAGTGCGAGTTCCATGCAATGGATTGCGTTGGATATCAAAACAAAGAAAAACAACGAAATGTGTAATATCGTTTATGACATGCACCATGTCGTATATTGCATATCAATGTTCTATTCATGCAATTCATACGTGAATGCTGCACCATAAAAATAACGGCCGTTTAGTTATATACATACACATGTCTAATATAAAAATCGTAGCACGCGATACATTGATTAAAAAACGCTGCGTGTAACACGAGAGTCGAAAAATATTCATATAATTGAAGCCGATGTACTCATTTTGTAACACCAGATCAAGATTTCTAAAATGAGTTTAAATATTGCATAGTACATAAGTTCATTTTATAAATCGGAGGAGTTAACATTTCAAGTATCATATAGTATAGAAAATGTCAACCTTGTTTCTTAGTTTTTTCTATCTTGATTAGGCTCACAAAAGTCATTTTATTATCAACAGTTCCTTAGTAGGAGAAGATGTATGTTATACAGTAGAGAAGTAGATTAAATATTTTTAAAAAGAAAATAACATTTAAAATAACATAAAATAGTAATGAAAATTAAATGATTGTAATAATAGTATTTTATATAATAGTAACAACTATATTTAATTTAATTTAAATTGTATCTAATTTGTATTATATTTCCATTTTATACTGACGATTTGTTCTACTGAATAAACTATTCTAACTATAAAGATTGCCACTGAAATATACACTGGTCGTAAAAGTGTCAGGTAGCTTGCTTGCCTAATTGATAATTGTAATTATGCTTTCGGATGAATTATTTCGATGATACTCTAAAGGTTAACACGTGTTGTTTGCAATATCGTCAATTTGTGCAATCTTTTAGGGTATTTCTCTTGAAACGAAAATCGATCTCAAAGAATTGCAGCTTGTGGTTACGATGTTGTAAATAATTTAGCGTAAGGAACAATGCATTATGCTGCAGTTTGATGCATGAAATGTTGGCTTACGCGTATGTATTTGGATTCGGCTCGCAGCTGAAACGACTCACGGGGCTGTGAAACAGGTCGCGTTTCTATTTCACTTCGCCCGGCTCTTCACTGAGAATTAACTTACCATTGTGCGATAATTAACTGCTTCAACAAGAATTTAGCAACACGATCCTCCTGAGTTTGTGAGTTGCGATCAACGTGACATTAATTGTTGGGGTAGGCGTGGAGTTCATTGCAAAATAGGCGATACGATTACCCGAAAGGTAGTTATTCTGAAGAATTAAATGGAAAATAGAAAATAACTATTACGTAAACTTTTTCGTTTTTGGATAAATAATTTACAAAACTATATGATACGTATGTAAAATTGATTGATGAAGTAATTTATATGAATATATTTATACGAAAAATATTTATAATAATTCTTCCTACCTACAAAGCTTATGACATTTTTAACTGTCCTATATTTTTAGCTACATATTCTCGATTACTGCGTATTTTGTATTTGAGTGAACAATTTTAATAAAGTTGTTTTGATAAGAGATACAAACATTTGGGCTCAAAAGGTTTAGTGGGAATTTTTCTTCTTTCTGGAAAATGATGGCACCTGTCATACAGTAACGAATATTTTTTTGATTCCAATTTGTACAAATTGGACCATAAAAGTTTATATCTGTATAAAAATCTGCAGTTTAGTTATGACGGTTCTAAAATATAGGCACTAGGATTGGATGTACAGAATGGTTCAATAATTTTAACTATCGGGAATACTCTTCGTTATCTTTACTTTATAATTATTTACAAAATATGTGTAGTATTGAATGGCGGAACATGTCCATAATAATTCTTGTATGGTTCAAGGGATTTTGAGAGATTTTATGGTTCCTTATATTTTTTATTATTTTATTAATAATAAAAAAGACAAAACTATTTGATTTCAAATAAAAAAGGATTCGAGTTTCTATTCGACTTTAGCTGCACAAGTTGTTAGAACGTTTTTCATCGATAAGATAAAATAAATGAAACACTTAAGATTTGCAAACGAGTATATATGTATAAATAAATATTATACTTTCTGGAACAAAGTTATTTTTCACAATGAAAGGAGAATACAGTTCAGACGGGCGTTATTATGTATGCAGGAAACCGAATACAGAAATGAATATGCAAAATTTACGACCAACAATAAAACACGGTGGTGGTTCTCTGATGGTATGGGGGTGTATGTCAGCAAATTGCACTGGAAATCATGACTTTGGAAAAGGTATTTTAGGCAAGCAAAAATATTAGCATGTTTGAAACAATAATTTTTAAGAAAGTGTTATAAAATTACGTAGCGTAGAAAACGTATACTTTGTTGTTCATTTTTATTTTTACTAATCTGTTCTAATTAACATGTTATTTTAAGAATTAATCGTTAGATGGACTTCAAAAATATCGCTATATAATTTGAATTAGAACAAAATCAATATACATATAAAATTGGAATCTTTTGCGCTTAAAAAAGATGGCAATATTTTTCTAAAAACGAAAAATTTCTTTCAAATATAACAATTTTTGTATTTTATAATATATTCTTTCACTGCTTTGGTTTTTCTTAATTACAGCAGACACTATCAATGCGATAAATGAGATTTGGTCATCTCATCCAGAATTACCCCACATCCAATCAAATATAACTTTTAAGTGCAATGGATTAAAACCTGTGTTAAAAAGAAATTCCAAAATATTATCTCACAGTTCTACCTTCATATCAAGGAGGTCCTTTAACCTTTATGTAAAGACATGAATTTAACCTTTAAGTATGGAAGTTCTACAATTACCGATTAATCTTAAATATTCTCGTTTGTAGCAACAAATACAAAAACTTATTATATTTATTTTCTTCCACTGATTTAAATATCTCTAAACAGTAATAGTATCAACTATACAACGAAAATATCATTGGTTTCAAAATCCACGATATTTCACATAGTTGTCTGTGAGACCGCAAGTCCATACTTACACCTTAATAAATAATCCATCCCAGCATAAAACATTGAAAACCATTCGCGTCGCGACAATCAGCATTGAATCACCCAACCATTGAATCACGGATGCGGTCGAATCGCTGGCGCTTCCGGTGAGAAATATTCATCGGCAGAATTCCACGTGTTGCGGATGGCCGCGCATCACCGGACCAATACTTCCGAGCGCATCTTTCCCCGGCGTGTCAGAGACAGGGCTAGCCTACTTTCTCTGCAAAGAGAATTTTTAAGCGATGCGTGAGGAGGGTTTCCCTCTCCCTGTTTTCTCGTCCTGAACCGTCGCCCCGGCTGTCTCCCACCTCTGCTCTCTTCGTTCACCGTCTCTGTTCATTACTCCTCGGCCCTCTCTCGCTCTCTCCTCAACCGGTGTCTCGTTTCCTCAATTTACTCGACAAGCTCGGCCGAGAATTCCTTCGGTCTGGGTACCCCTCTCAGAGTCTATATAAACGAGGTGCACACACGGTACTGAGCATTTTTTGTGTTAGTAGTGACGGAGTTGTAGGTCTCCTCCATCGACGGGGCTCTAGGTTGCCGAAAACTGACAAAAAGAAAGGGACGAAGTGTCGGGATGGTGTGCACGACGTGATAAGGACCGATATCGGTGTATTCGATTGAACCCGGGGAAAACGCCGGAAACGGAGGAAGGACGCGTCTGTCTTTTAAGCCGAGAACACCCTGGAAGTGTCGTTTGATTTGTGTACAGTGCGGTCAGCGGTTCGCGTGCGTGCAACATGCTTCGAAGCGAGGTAGGTGCTTGTGAATACGGTTGTTTCCGTAATTGTTCCTCCTTTTCCTTTTCCTTTGGCTGATGCTTTTCTTTAAAGGGGCGTAATCGCTCGGAAGTTTCAGGAAATTGATATTTCTTTTATATGTTTTTTTAATTTAACTTTTAACCCCTTGTCCTAGAATATCGTGTCTGATTTGTGCTGAAGATTTCAAATGGAATTTAATAAACATAAATATTATTCAATTTGTTTGAATGTTAATTACATATTATTCCTCTGTTATCAATGATTATATTTTAGAGCACACGTTAATATCAAATAAGGCTGGAATTTTCTCTTATTTTCATTAAATTATTAATAACAAAGTAGTTAGATCGACCATAGTTCAGAAAGAAATCATGGGGCAAGGGGTTCATGTTACATCAACCCATCAGGGTTATTTGCAACTACTTGGGACAATTTATTTTAAATGCTGCGATAAATCGATGTTTTAAACATTTTCTGAAGCGAATTCTGTATAGTTTCGTTGCACGTGTACTTTTCTTTTATACCGAAACTTCCCACAACTCCCGCTTGTGTTGCTGATTTAATAAACATTTACTTTTACATTGATATAATAGCTAACATAATACATAATTTATTGCGACTGCACATAGAAGTGTTTTATTATTCTATTATGAAAAAATATACATTACAATAATTTATTAAAATATATCTCCATATTTATATGCATTATTTCGTACTTCTTGGTGTGAAAATATTTGTGCCACAAAAAAGAAGGATATTCAAAGTAGTGATATTATAAATTTTTAAATACTGTTATTGTTTGTGGTACTGATAATTTTCCTATACAGTCCAAAAATTTTGATGTATATGTAACTCAATTTTTATATATTTATAATTAGAATGTAGATTTCGATACAAATTTGTTTTAAATATTACTGGCAGCAATAAAATGCAATGTTTAAAAAATGTTTAAATATATAATTGTATTATTAAAGAGAGTACAGAATATTTTTAAGGGGAAGACATTATTAAATTTCTTGAAATGAGTGACAAGATTTAGATTTATGAAATTTTATAAACTCGAAGGTTATAGAAAAAGAATACTGTATTATTTAACACGCCTACACATTACGAAATGTAAAAAATATATGTAATTAATACGTTCAACGGAGGTTTAAAAGATTGTGTCACATTCGAAAGTGGTTATATCTTAAGTGGGATAGCGTGGGTGTACTTCCTTCTTAAGTACTTTCAGTTTGAAATATTTATACATTTTTCACGTACGACATTGATTATGCTTTTATTTTTAACTTATGTTAATTAATTGCATACGTTCAATTTAATCATTGTTTTTAATTAGACATAAATTTCACTTAATATTTATAACTTTATTATATTTTTAATATATTACTGTTTCCCTCTATTAATATTCTTAAATAAGAAATGTCATTTCAGGCAAATGAAATACTTAATTCAACAAAATATTTAATTCTAAATTATTATACTTTTGTTGGCAATAAACTGATAAAAGGAAGCTGCAGTTTAATCAAATATTTATTAATGAGGTAAATAATAGCTGCTAGTAACTAATAATTTTATACATTTTCTCAAAAGATTTAAATTAAAGTTTCGAACAATCGCATGTTTGTACATTTCCTTTCTGAAATATTGAGTCGACTCACAAGCTATGACCTTTATTATACTTTAAATTATATTTTAATAGCATTCGAAATGTTTATTTGTTTGATCATGCGTTAACATATGTTGAATCGTATGTGTTTATATTAACTTTTCTTTTTTTAATGCTTAACCCCGAATTTGTTCTCATAATACTTTTCAATTAATATCCTTCTTCGAAAAAATACTCAATTTTGCGTAATATCATTACTTTAATATTTAGTTGCAAATTTTAGAAAATTAAATACAATTGACTAAATTAAATTATTATGTTCTTTCATAATCAGCTGAGTTGGGTTGAATATTCATAAGAGCACTGCTTTCAGAAACACTTTGTTGCAATTTTAATTGCGACCATAAAACTTACATATTTATCATAATAAAGGAATATTACAATAATTTCTGCTATT